ATCTTAAAAATATACATATTTTCAGACCAAATATAACTTATTAGAACAATAAGTTTATCTTATATGAAATAGTACTTTTTCTTCCTCTTATACAAAATTTCCTTCTCGTTTCAATCACGATTTTTCTCGGTCTTCATCTTTTGACATGGAAGAGCCCCAATCTCTTTATAATTCCCTCCTACAGCATTTTTTTTCTCTAGTCATTCGGGTGCTCTTTAGGAGCCTTTTAATGAATTATCATAGGGGTCCCTAACCCTCAATGGTGAAGGCCCAACGAATTAACTGAGAGTTCAGAGCCTGGCATTCTACAACCACACCCTGACCCCTCAGGTGGAAGCACACTGCCTGGCCCTACCTACCGGGAAGCATTTACAGTCTCACCCACCCACAGGACCCTCTGAATCTCTCTGCAGTTTATCTCCATATTCACTTGGCACTTCCTAATCAGAAGAACTCAGTGTCAAGCTTAATTTATTCCACATTCATGGAGCAGATACTCTTTGTGCCAGGCCCTGGGAATGCAGAGAAGAACAAGACCTGCACATTGCCCTTAGAAGGGGAACAGGACAAGTACATAAATGATGGGAGCACAGAGAAGGAAAGGTCTTGGACATCTCGCTGCACACGTTTTCCCAGAAAGATCACTTAGTACATATATAATCCCATGCTGCCCTTATAATTCTCTATTCAGAAAAGTCTTCTAATTGTTTGTAACCTTTGTTTCCTATTTCCAAGCTAGTTCTTAACAGAATAGCCTGTACTACTGTATTGAAAGTATAAAGAAGAAATTAGGGAATATATGCATTTTTCCACTTACTTGCAAATTTTTAAATTCACAATCAACAATTTCCCCCACAATTACAGTGGGATATAATGGACAAAACATAAGCCGACAGTTAGGCAGCGCTCTAAGCAACACTCAGTGGTCCTCAATCACCTACAAACTTACCCTTAGCTGAATGGAAGCACTATCAATTTAGCAACACGGCACTGATAAAAATAGTGCGTTAAAGCCAGTTTATTATGCTATAATATACTTCTTAAAGCCTATTCCTTTGTTCTTTGCATTCTGGTAGCTTTCCAAAGAGTCTCTAATAAAATGGTTCTAATGACTAAAACAAGTGAAGCACAGTTTGTAGCAGTTCAACATCAAAAATAAAGTAGGAAGACAAGCTTTACTGCCTCCTGAAGCGGGATGCCCAGAACCAGGCTGATTTCCGGCTTACTTTTGAAAAGCGCAGGGAACAGACAGCATTTTCTTTACACTTGAGAGGCCTCAAGGAGATTTGTCCTGGCTTGAAACCAAACCCTAGCAGCAGGTCCAGGTGGAAACAGTGTGAATGGGTCAAGGAAGTGGGCTCGCTTTGGTTTCTGTTGTGTTCAGTATCAGCTCAAACACCAAGTCTCTCCTCCGTAACATCTTACCGAATGAAATAATCATAGTGGGTAAGTACCACAGTCTCCATCTCTGCAACTTTTGTTCTCTTATTTTCTTTTCTAATCTCACAGATTTTCTTACCATCAGACTTCAGTTGTTTACCTCGTTCAACGAAAAGTGACTGCAAGTCTTTCTTCCCATCTCAGACTTTCCTAATCCTTCTCCCTCATTTTCACACCTAGTGCCATCTCACGACCCCATGTAAACCACTAGTATCTTACACAGGATGAGTCTGAGACAGCTCCCTGCCACCTGTCAATATTTAACCGCAGAGCCTTACCTCTGCTCGACCTCCATCCCCAGATCCTTCTTTGTTCTTCTTCTTGCCTCCTTCCTTTCGCTTCTCCTCACTGGCACCTACCTATAAAAGCAAAAAAAAAAAGGTTTTTATATTTTAATCTAATTTGACAACCCTCCATGCCGCCCCCCAGAAAAATTTTGAGGATGCTATTCTAGCATCTGTTTAAAAGAAAGTGAAAATTTGATTTTGAAAGACTAGAAAATCTGATCACTGTGAAAGACAAGTTAACAACTTATAGATAACTCCGAAAAAAAACAGAAGAGTTCAAGTCTTCACATTTTATTTATTTTGCCTGTTCTCCTGACTCTTGCTTTAGGCTTATGTGGACATATTTAAATACGTAGCCATGACGAGGTGATTATTCAATAACAGTATTTTCAGGAAAAAAATCAGTGCAGTATATATCCATTCATTCCGCAAGTACCACCAAGAGCCTCTGTGCTTGCGGTATTTTGTTAAATCTGCAGATGAAGCAAACCCAATCCCTACCACGTGCAAACTTAATCTCTCCAGGGAAACTAAGGCATACATGTGTGAAAAACTCCTGGAGGAGAAAAGAATACAGTTGTAGCGCTACAATTAGATGTCAAATAAGCTAGGACAATAGTAAGTGTTAGGACTTTCAAGGATGAAGATTTCAAGAAGCTGGATTTCAAAAATGGAGAAAATGTGTTCTAGGTGTCCACATAAGCTTACTGCTGGGCATGTTAAAAAGAGAAAGAGAGAGGGGCAGACACAGACTAAACCAGGCTGACTAAAGCAGGATTGTTTTAGGGAATAATTTAAGACAGACTATGGCTCAGACAGAAGCAAGCACTAAACGTTACCGTAAGGAACACAGACTTCAATCAGAAGTACATGAAGTCATAGAAAGTTGTAAAGTAATAAGTCCTGTGCAAAAAAGCAACCAACAGCAGCAGGTCTATACCAGTGTTTCTCAACCAGAAGCAATTTTGTCCCCCAGGAAACACTTAGACATTTTGGTTGACAAAGTAAAGGGTACAGTTGGCATGTAGTAGGTAGAGGCTAGGCATGTTGCTAAACACCCAGCAATGCACAGGACAGCCTCCCACAGCAAATAATTATTTAGTTCAGTGTCAACAGTGTTGAAGTCAAGAAACCCTGAACTACATTTTGGGTTACCGTGAAGAGGATTTTCTCAGAAACACATTACTTCACTGTGACTGCCCAGAAACATCCTAAAGCAAAGTGCACAAAAAGTTTCAGTATCCATGTTCCATGTATCAGTACTCCATTCCTTTTTATTGCCAAATAATATTCCACTGTTTATTTATCCATTTAAGAGCTGAACACTTTGGTTGCTCTTTTGAATCTTATAAAACATGTTACTTGTATAATTTAAAATAATAATAAACTAAACTATAAAATATATTCTTCCTAATTTCATGCTGAGTTAAAACTTCCCCCACTCTGGGATTCCGAATTTAATATTTTCAAGGTTTATTTACAGTCAACAGATGAATAACAAACATAATTTAAGTCCATTCTATTCCTGTAAAGTACTAACATGGTTACAAGATTCCCTATATGCCTTCACTACACTACAGAAGTGATGTAACTAGTCAAGTGTATTTCGTAAGAGAAGGGATGAAAACTAATTGTAGGTCTGTCTCTGCAGGTTTAAAATAAAAAAGAAATGAAATAATTCTATTTTTCTAATAATATGTTTTAGGTTTTGGTCACATGGCTATTTGTGAAATGAATAGTAGTAGTTAAAAAGAGGGAGAGAATTAACCCAAAGGTTTTCTGTGCTCTAAAAATGTCTCTATTTTACAAATGAGAATACTAGCTCAAAGAGGGTAATTAGCTCATTAGTATACAGGTAGTAAGTTGCAGAGCTGGGACATCAAAACAGGTCTCCTCGAACCCTGAGGCCCATTCTGTCTTTATTACAATTTGCAAGACAGCAGGCAGCTGTTTTCTATTTCCCATGAAAACAGAACAAAAATATGTATTTATTTATTACATATTTATGTAAAAGCGACCTAAAATTTCAACCCAAATGTTGGGCACAGAACTGGACTGTGAAGGGAAGCTACAGAATTACCTTCCTCAGGGATGTTTACGAGTTAGAGAAAAGGTATCTGCAGAGTGTAGTTTAAGTAAATTCAATCCCAGAGACTGATAGCTGGGATAAGTATGTCACAGGGATCCAATAGTTTTGACAGAGTATCTGTCCCTGACTTGTTTCCAGGCGATGACAGGAGGCAGGATAGCAATTGGGTTATGAGTATTGGTTACAGAATACTGGGTCTGAGCAAGTTACTTACTGTGCCTATACCTGTTTCCTCATTTGTATAATGGGGATAATAACAAAAGCCAGTTCAGAGTTATTTTGAGGACTGAATGAGCATGTAATACAGTACCAGATCCCACTCAGTAAATATTAGCACTCAATAAATATTAGGTAATTATTATTGGAGAAGGGAGAAATCATATATTTGTTAGCCATACATCACCTCCAATTAAGAATAGTATAGCAAAATATTTATGGACATGGAACGTTGACTATAGACTATTAAGCAAAAATAAATAAATAAATAAACAGGTTACAAAACAGTAAAAATACCATTTATTTTTATGAATTGAAAAAAGTCTATGAATAAGCACCATTTATCACTTTTTTAAATTAAATTTATTGGGCTGACATTGGTTGAAAAAATTATATCGGTTTTAAGTGTGCAACTCAATAATATATCATTTGTATATTCTGTGTGTTTACCACCCAAAGCCAAATCTTCTGTCACCATGTTTAACTCGCTTTATCCTTATCTACTTCACCCCCTTCCCCTTCCCAATGGTAACCATTAAACGTTGTCTGTGCCCACAAGCTTTTGTTTGTTTGTCTTGCTCATTTGTTGCTTTCAGTTTTATATGCCATATATGAGTGAAATCACATGGTTCTCAACTTTTTCTGTCTGACTTATTTCTCTTAACATGATTATCTCAAGATCCATCCATGTTGTCGCAAATAGCAATATTTCATCTTATGGCTGTGTAATATTTCATTGTATATACTGTATATATATACACACACACACATATAGGTCATAGTTTAGAATATACACACATGAATTTTCCTCTTTCAGTTCCTGAATGAGAGGACATACTAACCTTACTGATGAGAAAATTGTGGCTTTTAAGTAATCTGTCCTATCAAGAGTTAGGGCAGAGGCTGCTTTGGCTGAAGACCTCACCACCTCTCACGTGGACTATTACAAGAGCCTCCTGCTTGTGGTTTCACCTCTTTCCAATGCGCCTTCCACCTCAATGCCAGCGTGATCTTTAAAACTACAATTCATATCTACCGCTTCTCTGCTTAAAAACTTTCACTTGTAGTAAACTTCAACTATCCTTGGTTGTCTAAGATCCTTCTGATCCCTGTAGCTCCCCCTTCTGGCATATCTCTTGCAAGCAACCCCACAGACAATTCACTCAAGGTTGCCCTTTCAGTGCCTTCACTACGTACTTTTACCTGGAAAGCCCTGCCCTATTTGGTTTACCTGATAAACTTACACCATTCTTCCAAACTCAATTCAAAAGTGCGCTCCCAAGCAGAGTTGGGCATGCTTCTTTAACTCCACTGCAAAATCAATGTTTTCCTTTCACACACCAGGCTGTGAGGCCCTCAAGGCCAGGCTGGATCCTATACACCATCCTAGTTGCATGCCCCAGCACAGTGACTCACAGAATGAATACCTGACATTTATTAATCGTGAACAACAAACAAACTCGACCTGGTGGCATGAAAGTGACCTGGGAGATGTTCTTAAGCAACGATGACAACAAAGAGAAAATTCAAAAGTGAAACTATTAACAAGTGTGAAATAAGATAAGACATGCCTCCAGCACCAGGCAGGGGAAGTGTGTAAGCTCTCTACAGTTTGTCAGGTCATCTGGCCTCCACCATTTATTACAAATCAGCCAAACTTGAGCGAGTTCGATCAGATCTCGGGAACTAGGTTTTCCTTTTCTTAGAGAGACTTCTACCCTTAAAAAGGTTTTAGGATTAAGTGAGTCTCTGCAATGTTCTTCTCGCTTAAGGTGAGATAAAACACTAGTCTGAGAGTTCCGTAATTGTCTCGATTTCTAATTAGATGTGATTCTGAGCAACTCACTCACTCATGGTCTGTTTCCTCACCTACAAAAAGAGGATAGACTCAGATATGACCTGCAAGGCTCCGCCCTGTGCTATGAATGGACGATTTCTCCTCAAAGGAGACTCTGACTTCTCCAGGAGTTCGTTCTATCGTTCTACATCGGTTCCTCCACCTGACACGATCCCGGCCGCTTCCTTCTTTTCGTCCCCGCCTGGCACGGCCGCGGGGTACCAAAGAGAGCCCCAGGCCCGCCTCCCGGCTCCACTCACCGGCTTCTCCTCGCCTCCCATCTTCCCTGAAGGACTGCTGGCCTTCTCCTCGGACATCGGCGAACCACGAAGAGAATATGGAAACCAAAAGCGATGGTCTGGAGGGAGAGGACAGCGGAGGCCCAACAGAGATGGGATGGGGCTGCCGGGAACACTGCTCTTGAACCACGTGGTACGGAAAGACCAGCTGATGCAATCTGAAAGCGCCCAAACCCCGCCTCCTAACCAGGCGGGAGTACGGGCAGCCAATCGGTAACGGGGAAAGGCGGGCTCTCCCGTCTCTAAACCAATGGAAAAGCTTGTTGAGTGACCAAGCCCTTTAGGAAAGCAGGACGCGTCGGTTGAGAAGGAGTGGCTGGCGCTAAGCCTTTACGCCCTGCCAGCCCTGGACTGGACCCTCTGCTGAGCGGAGGAGTCCGCAATACGTGTGCGCTTTCTTCCAGGCTGACGCGGCCTATTGCTCCAGGGCCTTTCCGACCACCGTAACGCATGAGAGGACTTTGATTTGCGTTTCCTGAAAGTCGCCAGCATCCTGAGTACCATCCCTAGACTGAGACAGTACCGAAACAGAGGCCAGAGTTTCTCGCGGCTTCAGCGCCGCTTGATCTGTCATAACTGCCCAGTTCTCGAGATTTCCCAGGGTCCCCAAGCTGTAGCAGCGATTCGAGCCCTCCTCATGGCAATCTAGGTTTCCCAAAACCCAAACCTTGGTGATCTAGAGACGAGCGCCTTTCCTCGGACATTCCTTGTTACGTGCCACTACCAGTCTGTAGTGCATGAGGGAGCATTAAGGACCCATGAAAACGAAATGAAACGTTTAGTTACGGAAATAACCAGGGTGACTCCACGGATTCTCATGCGCAGGTCTCAGTTTTGAAAATCAAATGGGCGTACTTTTATTTATTTTACCAGCCAATTTAAAACAGTTTATAAATTGAAATCATAAGTGCAATGTTCTCGTTTACTGTTTATGTACTCCATCACCAAGTTTTATGGATTTTACTTTCTGAACATTAGTCCTTAACAACTCGCCACTTTCAGGGTCACCCTTCCACGAAGAGCAATAAGCCTCCTAACCCGGCATTCTGCATTCGTTTTTCACGTGGCACCAGGATGGTCTTGTCAAATACGAACACGACTGCAGCCTCCTGCTTAAAACTCAGTGGCTTGCAGTTGCTTTTAGAATAAAAATAGACATGCCTTTGAAGGCCCCTGATCGCCCAACTTCCTCGCTACCTGGCCATACACTAAACTCTATCCACAATAACATTTTTTCTCGGGTCTTCTCCCATAGATTTTGGGGGGGGGGTATGCCAAAAGGATGTATCTCTCCAGCCTCCTCTGCCTTCCCTCACACACTTTTTGCCTATATAGCATCTACTTATTTGTCAGATGTCTAGTATTGTTTTCTTAGGATAACCATTTCCTGACCACCCTTACTGGATGGAGCAAGTTTCTCTGTTATATCTGCTCATAACTTCATGTACCTATCAGTTCAGTTTTGCAATTAAAAAAATATTTTCTCCGAGATCAAAAAATTAACAAAAGCACAAGTTATATGTGTTTCCCAGCATCTAGCAGATGTGAGCCTGGCACACAGTTGATGTTCAATAAATATTTAGGGAATTAATGAGTGTTGAGACAAGCAGTGCTTTAAAAATGCCTCTTAATTTGTATTGTGAGAAAAGAAGTCAAAACCCCTATACTAATTAGATCTAGAAGAAGTTTTATAGTAAGAATAGATTATTAGTAGTACTTGGTGAGTGTTCTTAAGAAGTTCCAGGAATTATACACAATTTTAGTAGTGTTAAGTTAACCAATCTGACTTCCCATATTTAAATTAGAATGGAAATCAACAGGATCTAATCTTACCTTCTAATGTAAAACAATTTTATTATGCTCTTTAGACATGTTTTTCTGAATTGTATATTAATTTTAAATGAGGATAACAAGGACAAGAAAGATCAAGATTATTGATTTGCTAGAGGCAGAACAATATAGGCTAAAATTACAGATCATCTTTACTGCTATGCAACTTGGTCTCTTTTAACATCTTATTCTCATTCAACCTAGGAACCAGTACTGGCTTAAGAATGGCAAAAAGAAACAGCATAAGGTCGTTTGTTTGTTTTTAAGGTTGAACCTGGTGCAGAAATGTGGAAGCTGTAAAAATCAGTTGCTGGTGAGAACCTCTTCGAGAGGTATCCTAATGGCACAGTGCCCTCTGGTGTTAAGAAGGGGTTCTTTCATCACATGCACATTTAGGGCTAAGCAGATAATGAGAGCTTCCAACAGTTCTCAGATACAGAGCCCAATATGCTATTATGCAACTTTCGTGTATTTACCAACAAAAAACTGTTGAATGACATCCAGTGTTATAGATTATATCCACTACTCTACATGCTTTTTAAGACAGTGATTCTCAACAGCTCTGCCTTGAGAAGTGGACCAAAATTATTTGTGAACTATGCTACAGATGACGTTACAAATAATAGATTACTCATATTCAACTTTTTAGCAATATGGATTAGAGAAGATTCAAGATTATCTATACTAATCTCTTATTCACTCATGTAAGAACATTATTTAAAAAAGAAGTAGAAAGGGTGTGTGACAACCGAAGGTATGCCTGGAAAGTTCTGCCTTGGTGTTAGTTCTTCTTAGAAAAACACTCAGCTTGGACATGGCCAAGTAAGTATGAATCTGATTACTAGAAGAATGGGTAGGGGTGCTCTTTTAGTTACAATAAAGAAACTCATTTGGTAATTTTGACAAATAGGGAATTTATACTAAAACTACACAAAGTAGACTAGAAAGGGAAAAGAGAATCTCATCTGTGTAGCCAGGCTACATGGATTGCAGGAAAAACTCAATAATTGGGCCTTGTGGGAGGCTGCAAAGACTGCAGCTTGATGGTTGATAAGAATCCAAGGTCCCCTGTAGTAACAGGAAGTTGTGACTTTGAACTCTAGTAGTCCACTAGTACCATGATTCAGTTACTCTTGTGTCTTGCTCTTCCTCCTATTAGCAGCTGGCCAATTTACTCCATGTGTCCTGGTTCAAATTCCCAAGTGGGAGAATCAGAGTGGCTGTCTAATTACCAATCACATCATCATAAGTCACAGGCCAACGTATGAATCGATTGGTTGTTCCTTGGGTTAGGTGCTTCCCCTGGTCTAATGAGCAATGGCTGAGGGGCTGGTCATATGAAATAGCCACCATGATACAGAGATCAGCTGCTTTCCTCCTTATGGACTGTGGGCACTTTTGGAAGGAGATGCTAAGCATGATGGGTGCTATGAGTGATATCTCCAAAGCAAAATGTGTTTATGATTCATTTGGCACCATTTTCAGTTACAATAAAGAAATATGGGTGCTATTTCACTTAAAAGGGGACTGGAGGTTTTTTTGTAGGAGTTTTGCAGGAGGCGAAGAGACAAAGATACTTAACTTCTAATAGCATCTAATAGAACTATAATTGTTCCACTTTGGAAAATGTGACACTACATTCATGTTTGTTATGATAAAATGATTCATCAATCACATTTGGAGTGGCAGCATTCTTTTCAAATTAATCTTGGTTTATATTTTAATCTAAAATCCTTAGAGCTATAAGATATATGGTCCCTACAGATGCGATTTTTTCTTTCTCATTTATTTGCAATTAATGCTGCAAATTGTTTCATATCTGAAAAAGATGGTCAAGATTATAAATTCAATTGAAAATGATACCAATCATGATGCAGATTTGTACAATACAAAATACATCTCTATAGAAAGCAGCACAGAAGATAATGCTGATGATAATTTAGAAGATGAAGTTTTGAGGCACAGGCATAAACTATGTCAACTTGAAACACCTAGTAAATTCTTTGAGTATTTTACACCAGTGATTCTGAGTGGTTCTGGTTTCCCTTTCAAATCTGTCCAAAAGTTCTATGGACACTTTGAATGACACTGTCAACCTTAAATAAGTAACTCCGAAATAGAAAGTCTCTCTACACCTTGAAGAGGACACTCTCCATGGTATTCGAATCCTGGCTTTTTATAAGTGAGTTATTCCAGTTTGTTTAGAGACCTTGCTTCCCATCCTCTGTTAGATTTGATTTCAGTGGAATCAGTACATTATTGTTTTGATCTAATGACATCTAACACATTCCTCGTTTTCATTACTTTTTTGAAAACTCATCTATTTCTCTACTATCTTTGACGTTATTTCATTTTATATGTCTATCCCTTCCCTAAAGGTATCATTTTTCCTTTTTTTTCCTAACATAATACATTGTTTCTCTCTTCCTTAGCATAATCAGCATGTCTTTTATTTTGCTTTCTATCTTCCACTGCTCATATCTAATAGTAAAAGGCTCTATGGGAACTCTGTACTACCTTTGCAACTCTTCTATCGATCTAGTCATTTCAAAATAAAAAGTCTATAAATTTTATTCTGAAATAATTTTATATTTTTGCTGCATAGACACATATTATATATGTTATATATTTATATATCTTTATAAACTTACAATTTTATGACTTTATATAAACTTACAATTAAACGCATTATTTTTTGAAGGTAAGAAATACTCAAAATTTATCACTTCCTAATTATTTTACTACGTTTAACTGTTACCTATTTCTTCAAGGTCATTTATGTCTATTTCATCAGTATGGAGAAATACTGTATACTACATATCTTTTCCTAACTCAGAGTTCAGATGTTAGTAGTTTGATATTGGCTACGGTGGGAGTATTTACACCTCAGAAACTGGCAAATCCTACAAATCAGGGCTTATTTTTTTTTCCCCAGAGAGCTGGTTGTTAAACATTTACCAGTATGCCACTGAGTATATGCCACATATCTGTGCCAATATAGGGGGCTCTTTCTTCTAGATCCAGAATTCATGAGTTCAGAGACAAAAAAGCCTTTTTCATTATTAACCTTTAGTGACTCATTGGAAGTACTTTTCCTTCCTTTTCCTACAGTCTTGGGCCGGATGATTTTGAATGTCCTAGTCCCTAAGAGAAAAATGCTTCTACCAGGGAGCATGGTCATAGTCATGTTTTAGAGGAATTGGCCTGGGACTGCCCCCTAGCCATTTGGGGCTCTACATGCTACTGTACCCACAGGCATAATTGGGTCTGGCCAGAATGATTGATCCTGATTTCTAGGGGGCAAATGAGTTTCTGCTACATAAAAGA